TTTAAATTTGCACTTCTTGAGTGTTCAGAAATCCCTAAACCAAGAAATCAACTAAGTGATCCCAAGCTGATAATATATCTGGGCTGCTTGAAGAAACAAAAGCACAATCATTCTGGAGGGACAGACCCTCAATCTAGGGAGCACAGCACAGGTTTTTTCATAGATAAAACCCCACTTAAAATAAACTCATAGTCCAAAATCAAAAAGCACATAGGAAGCAATAAGTAGGTATCAGCCAACACAACAAACGTCACCCTGCTTCCCCTCCCTGAACTCAAATAAAAGAAATACAGTGATTATGAAATAAGTCAATTTAATTTTTAAAATTTATTTATTATACTTTTAAGTTCTGGGGTACATGTGCAGATCATGCAGGTTTGTTACATAGGTATACATGTGCCATGGTGGTGATTTGCTGCATCCATCACCCTGTCACCTACACTAGATATTTCTCCTAATACTAACTCTCTCCGATCCCCCCACCCCCTGCTACTCCTCCCCCACCTTCCAGGCCCCAGTGTGTGATGTTCCCCTCTCTGTGTCCTTGTGTTCTCATTGTTCAACACCCACTTATGAGTGAGAACATGCAGTGTTTGGTTTTCTGTTCTTGTCAGTTTGCTGAGAATGATGGTTTCCACATTCATCCATGTCCCTGCAAAGGACGTAAACTCATCCTTTTTATGGCTGCATAGTATTCCATGGTGTATATATGCCACATTTTCTTTATCTAGTCTATCATTGATGGGCATTTGGGTTGGTTCCAAGTCTTTGCTGTTGTGAACAACACCACAAGAAACACGTGTGCACGTGTCTTTATAACAGAATGATTTGTAATCCTTTGGGTATATACCCAGTAATGGGATTGCTGGGTCAAATGGTATTTCTGTTTCTAGATCCTTGAGGAATTGCCACACTGTCTTCCACAATGGTTGAATTAATTTACACTCCCACCAACAGTGTAAAAGCGTTCCTGTCTCTCCACATCCTCTCCAGCATCTTTTGTCTCCTGATTTTTTAATGATCACCATTCTAACTGGCATGAGGTGGTATCTCAATGTGGTTTTGATTTGTATTTCTCTAATGATCAGTGATGATGAGCTTTTTCATGTTTGTTGGCTGCATAAATGTCTTCTTTTGAAAAGTGTTCATATCCTTTGTCCACTTTTTGATGGGGTTGTTTTTTGTTTTTTGGGCTTTTTTGTAAATTTGTTTAAGTTCTCCATAGATTCTGGATATTAGCCCTTTGTCAGATGGGTAGATTGCAAAAATTGTTTCACATTCTGTTGGTTGCCGGTTCACTCTATTGATAGTTTCTTTTGCTGTGTAGAAGCTCTTAAGTTTAATTAGATCCCATTTGTCTATGTTGGCTTTTGTTACTATTGCTTTTGGTGTTTTAGTCATGAAGTCTCGTGCTCAGATATATCGAAGAGATTTTCAAACATGAGAAAAGGGTGCGATTCTATCTTTAAAATGTTGAGGGACAGTTTCCAAGTAGAGCAAGGAGAGTTTACAGCTACAGGAGTTCAGATAAGTTTTTTGTCTATATGTTTTGTGTGTGTGTTTTGTTTTGTTTTGTTTTTGAGATGGCGTTGCTCTGTCACCCAGGCTTAAGTGTAGTGGTACTATCTCGACTCACTGCAACCTCCACCTCTCGAGTTTAAGCAATTCTGCCCCAGCCTCCCAAGTAGCTGGGACTACAGGTGCACACTACCATGCCTGGCTAATTTTTTTGTGTTTTAGTAGAGACAGGGTTTCACCTTTCACCATGTTGCCCAGGCTGGTCTTGAACTGTTGAACTCAAGCAATCCACCCACCTTGGCCTCGCAAAGTGCTAGGATTACAGGTGGGAGCCACCGCTCGAGGCCCCAGATAAGGGAATTGACAGTCACAAAATTGGGAATAGAAGGAGTTGGGAGACAGATGAGCAAGAATTGGTTCATAAAATGCCTTACATTCTGTGTTAGTCAGGACTCTTGTTTGCAAGTGACAAAAACATCACATTTGTCTAGGGAGTATTTTGCTGTTACTGGCTTACCTGACCAAGAAAAATATTGTTTAAATGACAAGATCCAGAAAACCTCATTCTCTCCCCATCTCTCATTACTTTTTTCTTTGTGAATACTTATTTCCTTCTACTGCAGGTTGATTTTCCCCCAAAAGTACAGAACATTGCCACTTGCAATTTTTGGCTCATACCCTTTTCTAATTTTCTTTTTTTATTGTGGTAAAATATATGTGGAATTTACCATTTTAACCATTTTTTACGTGTACAGTTCAGTGGCATTAAGTATGTTCACATTATTATGCAGTTATTACCCCTATTTATCTCCAGAACTTTGCCAGCATCCCAAACTGAAACTCTGTACCCATTAGACAAGAACTCCCCATGCTCCCCTCCTCCCAGCCCCTGGGAGGTAACTGCTATTCTATTTCATGTGCCTATGAATTTGGCTACTCTAGGTATCTTATAAATGGAATTATGCAATATTTGTCCTTCTGTGTCTAGCTTCTTTGACCACACTCTCTTTTTTTTAAATTGACATATAATATTTGTACATATTTATGGGGTTGCAGCCTTTAGTTTTGATCAGAGAGGAAAGAACCTTCTGTGTGCACACACTTCTATCCCCTTAGCTCCATTCTGAAAAATTTTGAAAGAAAACTAATTGGCTTGGCTTCAGTAATAGGCTTACTTTCAGACAAGGAAGATGACAAGTGTTGTGATTTGCCCATTTGGGGTTGCATGACCACCTTAGTGTCTTCCCCAGCTCTCTGAAAACATACCGTCTTACAGAGTCCTCTGTCCTTTCTATCTAAAACAGCACCCCACACCAATCTCAGCTCTTACTCTGCTTTGATTCTTTTCCAACATACTTATCACTGCCTATTATTAAATGTATTAATTTGCTTGTTGATTTCCTAGCCACTACAATAAAAGATTTATAACATTAGAGACATTCTCTGTCTTATTTATCTCTGTGTTTCCAGTGCCTAGAACAGTGACTGGAACATAATTATAACTATATTTAATTAATTAGAAATTGAGCTAGAGATATAGATTTAGTATTCACTGGCAAAAGTGATTTAAAGAAATTACTTTCTTCCACCTCCTTCGTGAAAACAAAAAATTGGAAATTGAAAGGAAATTAACTTTGAGTATGTATGAGCAGAGTAATTAAACATGAGAGTTACGCACAAATAGTGAAAGAACAATGCTGTCTAAAGATGGATATCTGTGGAAAATACAACCTTGCATGATGGATGCCTAAGTAGAATCCTGAAATTGCAGTAGATTAAGCTCTTTCAGAAATTACTTCCTAATGCTGGATATTCACATTTAAACTATAAATGTGAATGTATAAACCCATCAGGTGTTTGCATATGTGTGTGTGTGTGTGTGTGTGTGTGTGTGTGTGTGTGTGTACACACACTTTTATTGATTAACATTGGAAACTGGCAAATACAGATATGAGTCTTAAGCCACAATGGTCAGTACTCCTCTTTCAAAATTGCCCTTAGCTTTGCCAAGCAAGACAGCATTCTCTGGAGCAGAACTTCACATTGTCAGGTTGCCCTACATAAGGATCACTCAGATACTATTCACTATAGCTGCCTTACCTCTCTTCCCCGACCTGTCCTTAACCTCAAGGGCAGGGCAAGTCAAAGGGGAACAAGATAAAGGTTATATCTAAAAAGACCAAAAAAAGTAGGTAAAAATGATCTTCTGGGCTTCCTGACTTTCGCATGCTGCTTTCCATCTTTTACTTTTCTTAGAGTTTATTATCTTTATGATGCTTCCTGGACATCCCAAACTTAACCATAGTTGTACCTTAGCCAGGTGTACTCTACCCTGACTCCCTGCCAAAATTACTTCTTTCATATCTCTTCTCACCCATGTAATAAGCACCTTACCTCCAAGTCCAATCAGGACTTCATTCCATAGTAGGAAAATGAACTGTATTGTCTCAAGGTTGTCCCCCTCCCATGACCTTTTTCTTACTACCTATCTGAACCATAAAATAAGTTATCTATGGCAACTTCCTGCTTTTCTTTCTAGGAGATTAATAGGGAGACCCACTGCCAAAAAGTTTTGGTGCTCCAGCCCTACATTCACCTGTTAGGAAGTGGGAAAAGCAGATATGGGTGCCCAAGAATAGTCTGACTGGGATAACATCACCCTTTCCAAGTTATTCATAGTAACAGTTTCACATTTATTCTTAATTATCAGGGACATATTGGCCATGCATATTACAAAGGGCTTATGAAATTAATTACTGAATTCTACTTTTCACTTGTGTACATTAACTGATTGTTACGCATGTAATGTGACTAGCTGCTCTTAATTTAAGAGGTGGCATTGCTAAAAAGTACTCAACTGTGCTACAATTAGTAGTATATATAGTTTTCTTGATTTTAAAGGAAAATAATTAACTGAAATGTTGAAATATCCTAAGTATTCTATGGTAATTTTTGACCTCCTTAAAAACTTCTGGGATTTTGTATGCTTTGAAATCACATTACTTTATCATACTCGATCTGGTTAGGAAACCTAATGTTATTAGCCTGGAATTTGTGAGTCTTTAAAAGGGGATAAAAAGCTATCCACTATAAATCACAGATTCACTAGATAGATTTGGAGACAAGCTTAAGAAAAAAAAAAATTTCTAATACTGGCCAAGATAAATGAGACACAGTGTCAATTTTTCTGTCACTAACTAGGTAACCAGACTGCCTCACTTTAAGGATTTCCCTTTGGTTTATTATCTGTAGGTATCTGGAGTAACTGGTTATCCTGTTACTCCATTGTAGCTGCCACAGTGCACATTTATCATTATTTTTCAGGGTGGTGAGCTTGGTCAAAAGTTACGATAAGGCTCAAATAACTAAGTCTGATAAACCTATGGAACTGGGTATATTAGATAAATTTGCTATAGTTTATGTACTTTCATACTTTTGCAATTACTTAGACTTCTAAAATGTATTATTTGTTTCTTTTATAGGATAATGAAGGCCAAACAGCTCTACATTATGGTAAGAAGTTTCTAAGTTACTAAATTATCATATTTGAACATCTTCTGTATTTGTTTTCAACTTTATTTTTCCATAGTGCTTAGAAAAGTATCTGGCAGCTAGCAGAAATACAATAATTTTTTGTTTAAAAAATGTATTGGGCCGGGCACGGTGGCTCACGCCTGTAATTCCAGCACTTTAGGAGGCCGAGATGGGTGGATCACTTGAGGTCAGTAGTTCTAGACCAGCCTGGCCAACAAAACCTGTCTCTACTAAAAGTATAAAAATTAGCCAGGTGTGGTAGCAGGCGCCTGTAATTCCAGCTATTCAGGAGGCTGAGGCAGTAGAATCACTTGAATCTAGGAGGTGGGGGTTGCAGTGAGCCAAGATCACACCAGTGCCCTCCAGCCTGGGCAACAAACTGAGACTTCGTCTAAAAAAAAAAAAAAAAAAAAAAAAGAAACCCTGTCTCTACTAAAAATATAAAAATTAGCCAGGCATGGTAGCAGGCGCCTGTAACCCCAGCTACTCATGAGGCTGAGGCAGTAGAATCACTTGAATCTGGGAGGTGGAGGTTGCAGTGAGCCAAGATCACTCCACTGCACTCCAACCTGGGCGACAAACTGAGACTCCATCTAAAATATATATGTAAATAACTTAGTAAGTTGAAGATATATTAAAATTCTTATGATCACATTTAAAATTGTTTCTATACTATCAACAGAAATGGAGACCCCTCCAGACCACCTTTGAAAATGCATTATTTCATTCTTGGTTCTATTCATGAGTGACAAGAAAGATGTTAATTATTGCCACTGTAGACTTTAGCATCTCTCCTACAAGAAATATTTTGTTGATCTAATTGAAGAAAAATAAATATGATTTTTAACTAATTTCTCTTACAAAGGGATTAGGTTAAGAAATCTGTAAAATAGGGAAAAAAATCAAAGATGGAAATTATAATATGGCAGCTCTGCTTAGTAAATTCAATGAGATAAAAGATATTTAAGTATTTTGTAAAACGTAAAGTACTAGTAAACATAATTAAAATAATCTGGGCACAGTGGTGCATGTCTATAGTCCCAGCTACTCAGGAGACTGAGGCAGGAGGATGACTCAAATCCAGGAGTTTGAGGTCAGCCTGAGCAACACAGACCCCATCTTAAAAAAAAAAAAAAAGATTCTATTTGGGTGTGAACGTGGTTGAATGAAAGACAGCCATCAATATTCAAACCAGATTATGGACCAGCCACCTTCTGACCTTTTGGGAGGGAATGTCCGTTTGGGAGGGAATCCATTTGCCAGTCTTGGCCGTCTTAGACTGCTGTTCAGTGACAAGTGGTTCAGATGACCCTGGACACTTTATTCACTGCTTGGACTTTAAATTTCCACTTCTTAAGTGTTCAAAAATCCCAAGCTTAGAAATCAGCTAAGGGATTTCAAGCTGATAGTGTCTCTGGGATGCTTGGCAGAAACACAAGCAAAATCATTCTGGAGGGATGATTCTGGAGAAACCTCGCTTTGCTATCTAGGAGTTTTAACCTATTGGACTGGCTATTATACTACCTATATATGTCAGCCTAATAATTGAGGTTGAAATGTCTGTCACCAACTGCCAGCCCTAACTCACTTATGAGTTTATCTAGCATAACCTGGGTACCAAAACCAGCAGGAGAAAAAAAAAATTGTGAATCAGTCTCACTTTTGAGCATATGCAAAAATCCTAAATAAAATACTAGCAAATGAAATCCATCAGTGTTTTTTTTTAAAGGAAAGAAAGATATACGTGCTAACCATATTGAGCTTATCCCAGGAATTCAAGGATGACTTAACATTTTAAAAAATCTATTAATGTAGCCTTCTATATCAGCAAATCAGGTTAAAAAAATCAAATGCAGAAAACAGCCTTGGAGGACATTCAACCCTCAAAAAGCTGTAGAGAAAAGTAGTTAAGACTCTGTGCTCTTAAGCCAGACTTCTGGGTTCAAGTTCTAGTTCTACCACTGATCCGGGACAAAATACTTAACTCACACTGTACATCAGTTTACTCATGATGAAATAGGGAATAATAACCTCAGAGATTTGTTATGAGTTAATCTTTGTAAAGTGCTTAGAACAATGTCTGATACCTGGTATATACTCAGGGAGTGTTAGTTAATTCTTTTTATGATAAAAGCTCTTAAACTAGGAATAGAAGGAGACTTCTGTGGCCTGATTAACTTTCTTATCAAAAACCCAGAGCAAACACTATTATTAAAGATGGAATGTTTGGGGCACATTCTTTAAAATCAGAAACAAGAAAAGCATGCATACCATAACTATTTTTCTTCAATACTGTATTAGAATTATAGATATCACAAAATGAAAAAATAAATAAAAGGTACATGAGATGGATAAAACAATCATCATCATTCTCAGTACAATTAGCTACATAGAAATCCAAGAAACTCTACAAATTATTAAAACTAATTATACAATTTAGCAAGGATGGTGAATGCATTAGTTTCTTAAAGTTCACTCTTAAACATTAGTATAAAAAGGTAAAAAAAAAATTTTAAATTGTTTTAAATATTATTTGCAACAGCAACAAAGTCCTAGGACTTAACCTAACAAAAGGCATGTAAAACCTTCATAGAAAAAAAATGTGATTTTTTAAAAAGACATCTTTAAAGGAACTAAGTAAAAAGAGAAATAATCCATGTTAATGAATGGGAAGACTCAATTTCATAATGATCATTTCTGCCAACACAAAGTACAAATTCACAGAATTTGCATAAGAATTTTCAGCAAATACTTTGTGGGATTTAACAAGCTTGTCCTAAACTTCATATGGAAGACAAAGGAGCCAGGAGTATCTAAGGCAGTTTGAAGAAAAACAAGAAAGAAGGACTTGCTCTTCCAAATATCACGATGTTATTTTACAGCTATCATAATGAAGGCAGAGAACTGAATTCCAACATGACAACATCAGAAGCTTCACTGACACGCTCCCTTGTCAAACTGGTGAAAATTAGTTTTAAAACTGTAGACATTTATAGCTTCTGGAAATGGTATTAAGGACAAAAAGCAAATGAAGAGACATCTATTCAAGAGAATCTACAAAAATTTGGTAAGAAGGAAAACTTAGTGGTATTTGAGGCAAGGTCACTTCCTCCTTTCCCTCTTGTCAGCTCAGCAGTGTGGAGACTCCACTCCACAATGCTGTAGCCAGGAATGCAGAGCTCCTGCTCCTCCCAGCTCCCAGTCAGAGGGCTTTCTTCCTGGTAGAAGCAGGACAAACATTTTCCACCTTGCCTTCAGCTACCTTTTGCTAAGGCTGTCCTGGACAAATGTGGTCCCAAATACTTGGGAGGCTGAAGCAGGATAATCACTTGAATCCAGGAATTGAAGGCTGCAGTGTCATGATCATGCCGCTGCACTCCAGCCTGGTTGACAGAGTAAGACCCTATCTCAAAAAAAAAAAAAAAAAAAAAAAAAAAAGAACTATAAGTAGTCTGAAATTGTACCCTACTTACAAGCTAACAAGTTTTCCCTGACACAGTTTCATGGTTGCTGGCAAAAGACAAAACTTTTGGATCAGAGACAAAAGACTTTATTATCCATGGCATAGCAAGTAGCCTGAGCTTCATGTTTTCTTCATTTCTTCTTGCCTCCAAAGTCCCACCAGAGCAATACAGAGAGGCCTAGGTAGATACTGCACACACCGTGTGTCATGGCTTAGGAATCCTGATCTTACAGAGCTCTAGTCTTTTATAATGGGCCACAAGCAAACCTTTGCTCAGGAGGAGGTATTATGTTTATTATTCTGGATGGTAATCATACCTGCCCTCCACTCTGGAAAGAAACACTATCTCTGTTGTCAAATCTTTTCTTTACACAAACATCCTTGAAACTTAGTCTAGAACAGAAGCTGTCTTATGTCTTGGGCACATCTTATGTACCTTTGTTCCTTATGTACCTTTGTACATAAGACGTGCAGAAATGCAAGAGACCTTTCAAGAACTCTCCCAACAACAATTAATTCAGGAATGCAGATTAAAACATTTAGATACAACTTCATATTCATCAGATTGGCAACATGTAAACATCTACAAATATTAGTATTAGAATGTAGAACAACAAGAATTCTCATACGTTTCTGAGGAGAGTGTCAACTGTTATAGCCATTTTGATATCAGTTTAAGAAGATTTAGTAAAGTTGAAGGTATACATACTCTACAACCCAGTAATTTCAGTTCTAGACATATACCAGAGAAAAACTCCTGAACATGTGTATAATAAAATATGATTTAGAACATTTATTGCAGCATATTTGTAGTAGTTAACAACTTGTTTTATTAGCCTTTATATTCCTCTGTATGCCATGCTTATAATATTTGTTAATTAAAATTGCACATAAATGCATCTGTGCACATACACACACATATGGTACCAAGTCCCTTTGAAAGAACGATTAAAATGAGCATAGAAAATAGTAAAATAATAAACTGTATTTAATCTGTAAGCTCCTGTCTATAAATAGCCCTCTAGAAGAGTTTTTTGTTTGTTTGTTTGTGAGTCGGTGTCTCACTCTTGTCACCCAGGCTAGAGTGTAGTGGCCAAGTCATGGCTCACTGCAGCCTTGAACTTCTGGGCTTGAGCAGTCCTCCCACCTCAGCCTCCCAAGTAATTGGGACTATAGGAACGCACCACCACACCTGGCTAAGTTATTTTATTTTTGTTGAGACAGGATCTAGTACAGGCTGTTGTCAAACTTTAGGCCTCCAGCAATTTTCCCATGTCAGCCTCCCAAAGTATATATAGTAGTTATTGTTTTCGCCACTTTATAAACGAGGAAACTAAAACTTGAAGAGATTAACAAGCTTGCCTAAGGGAACTGGAAAATCAAATCCATGTCTCTATATTTACTAGGAAAGGACAGAAAAATGAGTGCTTTCCCATACCTCCTTCCACAGCATTCACATCACTTACTCCTCAAACATGTTTATAAACTATTTCTATCATATGACTCCTCCTGTATT